ACCCAGTTTAAGTTCAGAATGTATTACAACAGACAGCAGATACGACAAAAGTGAGTCTCGCAACAATTGCAAGTATTAAAATTGCCCTCTGATTGGTTAATACTACTTCAGAAACGCGTTTGTAAAATGCTAGTGGGAACATATCCTAAAATTCAATAGTAATTAATCACCAGTAGCATTTTGTAGGTGATATGAACGACATAATCAATGGACATACGTTTTTTGCCACGTGACTTTAAAATGGTATTTGTCGGACTTTACCAGCTTAATACTTTTTCCCTCAAATCAGTACTTTTTTTTCCTGCCCGATCAGTACTTTTATTTTCAAGCCACTGGCAACGCTGTTCTAACGTAGGGAGCCACCAGCTCACATTTTTTTGGAGTATCAGATTAAAATCGACGGACTTTACTACTTCGATTTTTTTGAAGATTTTCTTTTACTGAAACTCAAACTGACATAAGTGGAAACATATTTTGTGTGAGAAGAATACGTTGTTTAATTTGGGGGCCCCAAATACCCCAGGGCCCTCCCGCACCGCGGGCCCTGCGGGCCCGTCAGGCACGCCACTGACCTCTGTTAGGAACAAATAAAGAACGTCAGAATGTTTTCTATGAGTTCGTAAAAGTATGTTTTCATGAAAATTCATGAGAGACATTTTATAAAGGCTTCTGTTGGTCGTTTTCGGGAACACCGATTGAAACATTTATCCCACGTGCACAAGTCCGGAAATCAGTTCGAATAACACGTTTTTAAAAGGTTCTTTGTAACTGTGATATTTGCACTACCTATAAATAGGTCTACTGGATATCCAATACCAGATAGTACTGTGAAGGAAGTCCAGTGAATGTTCATAGAGATCTTTGGAAAACGTCCTGTTTCGTTTTCAAGCGTTCGTATTAAGGAGTTTTTGAATCGCCCATTTTCGACGTCTATATGACGTTTTTAGTGACATTTGCACTAAATAATAGTAGATTATACCACGAGTCAATAATGATAGCTATTATTCCCGAGGATTATTACGAACTGAGCCGCGTTAGTGGCGAGGGAGTAACATTCCGAGGGAATAATAGCCATTATTGCGAGTAGTATACTCTACTTTATTTACGACAAATTAATTTATTTGAGATTTTCAATGAACAAATTTCATCCGTCTCATAATTTTCAATACAAATCCACAAGCACTACACGTTTGACACTGACACTTTTGTGGAATAATGACCATTAATCCCGCTACTCGTCATTAATCCCTGGAGGAATAACATATGTCATTATACTGCCAAAATCACAAATATAATACGCACATTAAACATTAGTCGTAAATAAAAATGCTCCTTTGGATGTTCTCAGTTACTTCAACTGACGTTTTTAAAACGTTTTGACGTCCGATCGGATAATTTTTTGAAAAGTTTATGTACTATAGTTCTATCATTCAAGATTCAAGTGAAACTTTTTACGAATTTCTCAAAATAAAACTACTTCTAATAAAGAAATAAGCTGACCTATAAAAACCCCTGAAAATGAAAATAAACCCCGATCTCCTGATAACACAAATAGAAAGTTTAGTGCAGTCAATGTGTAGGCTCACGCATAATGTTTTAACTCTTAACACATCCATCATAAGATCGCATAATTTTTTATATTTCCTAAATACTTCTGCTTTGTTTTAGGAACTAGCTGACGTCACACACATAACCTCACAATGACATTTTTGTCCCCTTATCGAAAGTGACGTTATTTGATTTTTGACGTTAATAGCTAGCGCGTGCATGTAAAAATAGATCTTCAATTGCTTTGTTTGTCCCCTCAACGGAAGTTGAATGTGAGGTTGTGTGTGACGTCAGCGAGTGCCTAATTAGACCAAGATACCAACTAGTGGCTGACTAGTCACTGAAAATTTCCATAAGGATTGCACTGCCACTAGTCAGCCACCAGTTATAATTTATGTTCACCTTGTTCCAATTCACTTTGGAAAATTTATACCAAATACTTCCAAATGCAGGTAGGTATGTTATTCTATGTTATGTAGATAAGTATTACGACTAGGGACTGGAGTGCCTTGATTTTCCACAGAGCCCTATTTTTCAATTTCATATCCAGGCCCAAGCCCAGGCCCTACTTTAGTTTTAGGATAGTGTTTGTCATTACTGATCACCACTCACCCGCATTCAAACAACTCATAGAAAACAAACATGTTCCAAACAAGTTTTTTTTAACTTTGAACGCCCAGAGCGTTCATTTTTAGGCTCGAAATGAACGATTTTGGGCGTGGCACCCAAAAAAAAAAATTCTGACTCCGGAGGCGCCTGCGGCGGGCTACCACCGCTGGCACCTACGTAAGGAGGGCTATATCTCTATGGGGCCGCGCGTTTCCTCTTTGCACGCGGGCGGCCGATACCCTAGGATCGGCCCTGATTGAATCAGTATCTTAGTTGACCATGCTTTAAGTATGAATCTGTTGAATTTTGATTTATTTCCAAAAATATGCTTTCATCCCCAATTTGCACCCCACCTGGGTTGCTGTGGATGATTTTTTTTTCAAATTGAATCAGCATCCAAGTTAACCGTGGTTTAAATATTAATCTGTTGAAACGAGCAGATTTTGAGATATGTATTTCAAAAAATATGCCCCTATTTTGCACCCCTTGTCCTGGGTTGCTAAAGATGGAATATTTTTTAAAACTGAATCAGCACCTAAGTAAATCATGGTTTAAATAATACAAATCTGTTGAAACGAGCAGATTTTGAGATATTTCAAAAAATATGCTTTCTACCTTCAGTTGCACTCCTTGTCCCGGGTGCAATTTTACATAGTACCTATACCATGTAGAGATCATCGAGTCTATAAGCTCCGCCCCAGGCCCAGTCCAGCTTTGGTTCAATATTAAAAATGTGTGTAATGTGGTATAGAATGTAATCAGCAGTGTGCAAAATGGGGTATAGTACGTAATCGCGTTATAGGCTTGCACTCGGGATAACTATTTCTTTCTATAACCAATCTGTATTTGGGCATTCAGACTATTTTTCAAATAACTGTCACGTCGGATAGTGGCTTGTTATGTTATTTTAATTTTGATGTCAATTGCATCTCTTTCTCCTGTTCCGCAAATCAGAACTTCGCTTTTTCTGTGCATTCTTGTTAAAGTTGTTATGTTGGACTTGGACAGACGGAAATTTTGCGAAAAGCTAATGTTTGTAAATTCAGAAACGTTCTCCTAACAATCCAGTTTGTATACCTATAATCGGCACTAAGCTTTTTCATAAAACTCTTAGCTTCTTCTGCAAAATCACTGCCCATCATTTGCATCTAGGTAATTAGAGCCTAAAATTCTGGACAACTTTTGAATTCCAAAGTATCTATTTCTACCTCAGGTTGTAATTTGTTTAATTAAATCTCTAACGTGCTCTGTTCACCCATTTTGCTTTGATTGTATAGTATACGAATAGTGGGTTCTAAAATCCCTGGATACTTTCGGCATTGTCGTGCTGTGTCACTCCATTTCATCTCATTTTGCCGAATGCGGAGTTTCTGAGAACCCAACCACAAAGTATACCGCATTTGGTGAGCATCGCATCCTAAGTACATAGAATTTACTTATTCTATACTGCATTACAGACATTTTCAATACTGAACCAAAGTTGAACTAGGTTTGGAGGCGGAGCTTATAGACTCGATGCTATCTACATAGTATACTATGTAAAATCGCGTCCTGAGTTGCTCGAGATGGAATATTTTTTTAAAATTGAATCAGCACCCAAGTCGATCATGGTTTAAATATGAATTTGTTGAAACGAGCAGATTTTGAGATATTTCAAAAAATATGCTTTCAACCCTATTTTGCACCCCTTGACCAGGGTTGCTGAGAATGATTTTTTTTTTGATTGAATCAGCACTTAAGTTAACCGTGGTTTAAATATGAATCTGTTGAAACATTCAGATTTTGAGATACATATCCCAAAAAATATACTTTCAACCCTAATTTGGACCCCTTGTCCGGGTTGCTGAGGATGCGGTATTTTTTTAAAATTGAATCAGTACCTATATTAATCATGGTTTAAATATGAATCTGTTGAAACCAGCAGTTTTTGAGACATTTCGAAAAACAAAATAACATGACAAAAAAAAACCCTCTCTTATACCTACCCCTTAATATTATTTCCCCAAAAATATGGGTTGTTTTTAGTGATATATAACTGTAGAAGAATTTAAAAAGATTAAGTCTAAGTAAAATACAATTTATGTCGATTAAAATATGACCCAACGCCCCTGGGCGTTCGGGTATCGTATCTTCGGAACTGATATTGAACCACCATAAACGGGTCTATAGAGGGAAGATTGTCAGACTGCACTTTTCTAAATCCTGTATCAACCAAGATGAACTATTTGAAACACAAAATGTCACAATATGGCACTAAATACGGAAACACCACATAATAATCGCTTTCAATGCAGTCGAAGGTTCAAGCTAAGCGATTTTTCCTGACAATTTGCAAAGTGTCAGAGGCTCTTGTGAGACCAGACCTTAACGTTGTGTTTACAGACAGTTGACGTCACAAGTTCCACCATCTCGAAGCTAATCGTTTTCGCGCCAACGAAAATAATTTGAAATTTAATTTTTTTTAAAATTTCAATGAGGACATAAAACAAACAAAAAACATATACATTTTATATTTGAAAACAAACAAGCAATAAGAAAAAAAATACTTTGAAAAATATGATTGTTCCCTATTACATACGAAATCAACTTTCTATAGTCATCCATCAAGGGTTTTTAAAAACAATAAACTCAACAATGCGTCCTAAAACCCTCCTATATTTATTGAAACAACAAACAAATCACCCATGAAAATATATGGCACGGCTAATTATGTATATTTGTCTTAAGTACCCTTCTCAATTCCACCTCGGTTAATGCCTTTAGAAAATCTAGACCCACATAATGACAAAATGTAATTTGTCCTTTTAATGTCTTTGAAACGTAAAGATTAATGAATATTTTAGTTTCGGTCGCAGGAAAAGATGCACATGAGAAGTCGTAGTGAAGATGGTGACGCGGAAATACGGAGTGAAATTATTATTCGAGAAGTAAAAATGCGTATGGATAATAAAGGTAATTTATTTTTGTATTAGTAATTTTCAATGCATGTTGATTATTTTTTGCAGATAACACTCCAGAAGACCAAACATGTCCATCTTTACCACCCAGAAACCCAAAGCCTGAGCCGCAAGCTTTGTATCAAGAAATGCCAAAACACTTACCTCCTTTAGTGCCACCTAAAATGAAAAAAAAGTTAGAAATTGCTTCGTTGGATGATCTTCTAGAAAGTCTCAGTCAACAAGCAAAGGAGTTGGAACAGGAAAGAAAAAATCAAATGGAAGATAGTCAGAATAAAGAAGGTAACTTCACATTGTATTTAAAATTCATTTAAAAATCTGAGTGTTACAGGCAAAGTCAAAGAGTTAATAAAAAGGTTTAGCATTGGTAAAGAGGAAGGAGTGGAGATGCGTCAAAAAACTCAAGAGTGGAAACCCAAAACATCTGCTGCTTATTCCAACGATTTGGATAAACTTTTAGATGAATTATCCAAAGTCACCATTGCTCCTATTATGACCCCAGGGGTTACTACTAGTCTTATTAATCCAGAGATTTCGGATAAGGAGGTATAAAATACATTGACTGCATGATGCATGAAAAATGAACCTATAAAATGTCTGTAGTAGGGACTTGTGAATAATTTATTTATTTTCAATAGATATTGAAAATGGTTCCGATCCGAAGAAGGAAGTTGTCAGAGCCTGACTATGACGTACCCAGGCCACATCGTTCTCTGGTTAATTTACCAAAAAAAGATGAGAACGCTCTGGAAGCTACAAGATTCTTTGGACCGATTTTGAAACCCTCAGATTATCCGGATAACAGACCGTAAGGATAAAATACTTTTTCCTACGAGCGTGCGCAAAGTAGTACTTTTCCGCACGCATTTCCGGGCTCAAAGTTACACTTTTCCGCACTCAGTGCGGATACAGGCCTTATCCGCACTGAGTGCCGAAAAGTAATTATAATTGTCAAGCAACAATAAGTGTACCTGTCGACTTTGACACATGATGACAAATTTTTTCTGTGTTTCTATATCAGCCAACATCTATACAAACACCAAATATAAATTAATTTGACACATTGTCAGATTTGTTCTCTATTTATATGCAAAAATCTACAAACTTTCTCATCAAATTTAAACGCTTTAAGATGAACAGCTTTGACGAGGATTTTCTGTTATTTTTTTGTTATGTAATTTTTTGATAAATGCATAGGTTCCATTCAAGTTAATTAAAAATAATTAAACAAATTATCGTTTTTTTTTAAAATTTTTGTTATTACCTACCTGATATGAAGCTCGTAGGAAAAATTTTGTTCCTAACACGTGCGCAAAGTGTCTTTTCCGCACGCAAACACGTATCCGAACTCCGCTTCGCGTCGTTCGTATAACTGTGTTTGCGTGCGGAAAAGTAACACTTTGCGCACTTGTTAGGAAAATAACTATATTTATTCTCATTTGGAGGCGCAAAAATATTGAATCGTTTGTGATAAAATTATTGAGCGTATATAAATTTCAACTACCAAAAAGTATTACAATTCGCAATTGGACTAGTGATTGCCATAAATAGTTTGCAACAATAAAGGCAAATTTGAAGACGAATAAAAAACAGTGTAGAGTATTTTACTTCTTCTAAAAGTTACCAATAATTTAGTTTCAAGCAGAGTCAGAATTTTGAAAACTTTATGTTGAAGAAGTGTGTCTTGAATGATTTTTCTTAAATCATTTTTAGTGTTGTTTGTTTAGTGTCTTTTACTTTTCCTTTATGTCCGCCCCATTTCATTTCAATAAATACAACTACGTATTAATTATAATAATCTTATATTTTGTAGTTTAATTATGTATAAAGAAGAATCGAGTTTTTTGGAAAATAAATATTTCATTGGAAAGAAAAATTATGGGATAGTATTTTTGAAAAATGTTAGGTAGACAAAGCTCAGCAAATTGCGATCCCTCAGTGGCCAAGACTGCCACCTCTTCCCGAATTCTAGCTGACCTACAGAAGCTAGAAATCAGGGCAAAACTACTAAATGTTAATCAGAGACAATTCTTCCTTATCAAACCTCTGCTCATTAATTTATGCAAATAACATTCAAATTTTTGTCACTCAGAAAAGGGTTCAACAATAGTATATTGTGTATTTAGGTGGAAAAGTGGCACATTCTCGGCCGACGGTGTAAGTTGACCGGCAAACACCGAAGGACGAGAATGTGCTTTTCCACCAAAATACACATACAATTTTTTCTGCGATCGGTTAAATACCTGTTAAATGTTTGTCTTTTGTTTCTAATTATTCAGCAGTACGAGAATCACTTTCCCGGCCTAGGCCGGAAAAGTGTTTTCTGTATTGTTATTCATTGATTCCTTAGCAACTATTGAAACATAATTAAAATACCAGAATATAGAGTTTTATTTTCAACCACATATGTAATGTTGACATTGCAGGTTTTTCAAAATCTTGAAAGTGTCACATTTCTGGACTTTGACATTTATCGGGACGGTAATGCATATGCCTGCCTAGGACGGAAAAGCATTTTCCGTCCGGGACGGCAAATGCTTTTCCGTCCCCATTTCCCTGCTCGTTCCAAATTGATAATTTTCATACAGCTCTCACATATAATAATAAAACCACATGTATTACATGGAACTAATTAAATCTATTCACTTATTTACATTAATTGTTAAATTAGCATTGTTGTTTATAATGGAAATCTTGAGACCATCCTGTTGGAATTGTGTTTCGTTTGGAACTATTATCTCTTGCGCTTGCGGATGAGTTTCCGCATGTGATGTACTTGTGGATGCACTGGACAACTGAATACCTTTGGAAGTAGAGGATAGCATCAGAGCAGTCTTACTTTTGTTCTCCAAAGATGCCTCTATGTAGCCTTCAGCAACCGTGCTCGATTTCCACCCTCCCAGTCTTTTGAGTTGCAATAGATCGGCCCCGTTGTCAACCAATAAGGTTGCGGAAGTACGACGAAAAGCATGCCCTGTAAAAGTTTCAATTTTTGGAAGCTTCAAAAAAGCAGCTATTTTATGTGGAAATTTTGAGATTGAATGATAGCCAATTGCTTGGTTATGTAATTTCCCATTTCGCCATTGAACAAATAACCTGTCATTTTTCAAATTTTTCCGCAAAGTGAGGTATTTGTGGAAAATAGCAACCCAATCTGGATCGCTTATGATAAACGATCGACTTGTGTAAGTTTTTGTGTGTGGAATTTCTATAGCGATCTTTCCTTCCAAAACGTTGACGTGCTTCATTTTCATCTTGACTAGTTCATCGCTCCTACATGCACCCGACACACCAACAATTAGCGCTACCTGAAACCAGATAAAAATAAAATGGGTAACCTAGCTATAGCATACAGAAAATCATTTTGATTTTCGCATTTTTATCTTCTTTGTATATTTTTTGAAAACCTACCTTGATGCTAATGAATTCTTCAGCTGCCTTCGTGAGGAACTCGTTAATGTTTTCTCTGGAAAAAACGCTCGACTTTTTCGGCTGAAAGCCCAGATTTTGCCGCTTCAAAAAAGCTATAAGTTTTGCGTAATTGGAGATATCAACTTTCTCTTTCAATTTAATCATGGTTTTCAACATACTGTAAGTCGACCATAAAGTCGAAGGCTTCTTTTCCTTAGATAATTCGCCAAAATACGCCAACAAAACGGTCTCCGAGGCAGTATTTCTCGTTCCTTTCTGGCTACACCATGCTTCGAATATTTGAAAAGCCTTTTCGTACCGAAATTTGCTTTTTGCTGGAAGCAAACTCTCTCCAATCCTGTCTGCTGCTTCTTTTAATTCAGGTGGGGTACAATCCATCGCTTCATCTTCACTTTCCGAAATCATTTCTTTGGGGAGAACGGGGAGAAATCTAGTGAAAATCTATTATTTCCGCAAAAATACTGAGCGAAAACTACCGTCGTTAAGGCGTTGTTGATCTTATCTATGGTTGTTGATTTTGCGGTTTCCTGTGGTTTCGTCTTTTGTTTTGGCCTTTACAGGGCCTTTGAGATCGTCAAAATTGATGACATTGACAAAAAAAGTGAAATATTTTTTTCTAAGGCCAGTTTTACACTATATGAAAATTTCGTATAACAGAATCTTTAGTTTTTGCATCAGAAAATTAAGGGTTGAAAATAAAAAAGTATACAAACCTCGACGGAAAACTTCATTTCTGTCTCGAGGTTGAGTTTATCTCGACGCTTCGCGTCTCGATAAACTATAATAACCTCTCGACCAGCAATGAAGTATTTTCCGTCTCGGATTGTAATATACTATTGCGACCTGTCAACCGGTCAAAAATGCTGACATTTCTTGTCAATCGCAGAAAAATTTGTTTGTCTGATCCCAATACAATGAATATTCTACATAGTGCAAAAGCATTAGGGAGGCACCTACACCTGACTACCAGGTGCGCAAATTAATCTTTTATTTCCGAGGCTGCTGGGTCAATCTAAAAGGTCATCGAGCAGACATCGAGTAGCTCTGAACCTTCATAGAATGGTTAAATATTATTCCTTGGGGCAAGAATTCTAGATTCATTAGATAAGTACATCAATCTGAGTCTCGCCGACCTTGAATGAGGTCTTCTAACGATCCTTCTTGAGCCTTAACTACTGAAACTTCTCTAACTTGGTACATTCCCTAATTCTATTCTGATATAATATATGGTGTGGTTGTCTCAGTTTTGCATCCAATCTTGGATTTCAAATCCACTTGAATTAATATACAGGGTGATTCCAAAATGGCTTATAAGCTCTCCACTACGTCGGCCATATTAATATAAAATAATTGTTCTTGGAAGATGAAGCCGATGTAGGGGTAGTTTACAGACCGATAATCAACCGCGTTGCGTTAGTTAGTCAGTATTAATAGTGCCTTTTAGTCCTGTGATAATTATTAGCGCCCATGCCCATAATATTATCTGAAATGTATTTGTGGTAAGCTTTATTTTAAATACACTTTCCTGTTTTTGTACTTGGCTCTAGTTTTGATTCTAACCCCCTCATAGCCCCTAGGTCCGACATATTATGGTGAAGGTGCCGTGTTCTTTCCCTTTCGCCTAATCTTCCTATTTGGTGTAATAAAATTATTTTGTACAGGGTGGCCCAAATTCAAGCCTCATCATTGGGATCTCGCGGTAACCGTAAGAGATACGGGGTCGATTAATTTATTATGGCAAAGTTGCGCAATTTTATGGCCAATAGAATGCCGTTTTGAAACTAGAAAGATTCCGAATATTCGGAGATATTCGGAAAAAACCAAAATTTTGTAAAATCGTTTTTATTTTTTCCCGGGCTTATTTGAAAAGCAACTTTAAAATAAATTTCGTCATTGTCACTTTTTCCCCTTTAAAAGATGGTGCTACTAAATTTAAAATTCGACGTTTCGTCTTCAGGCGGCCATCCTCAACTTACGTTTTTTAAATACGGACCTAGATTTTTTATTTGCGATTTTGTCATCTTTGGGCATCCTAAAACCGATACTGTTTATAATTTTGCAATACCCCGGTAAAAAAAGCAGGTCCGTATTTAAAAAAAATAAAGTGATGATGATTCCATAGGAACAAAATGTTGGATTTCAAATTTAATACCGCCATTTTGTAGAGAAGAAAAAGTGACAATGGGAATGTTAAATTAGTTTTTCAAAATCTTTTTAAATGAAATCAGGAAAAAATTTAAGAAAAACGAAGAATTCATGTTTTTTTCATATAGTTTTCATTTTTTTCTGATTTTATTTAAAAATATTGTGAAGAACTAATTTTACATTCCCATTGTCACTTTTTCTTCTCTACAAGATGGCGGTATTAAATTTAAAATCCAACGTTTCGTTCCTCTGGAATTATCATCAATTTATTTTTTTTAAATACGGACCTGCTTTTTTTACTTTGTTAGTGAAAAATTATAAACAGTATCGGTTTTAGGATGCCCAAAGATGACAAAATCGCAAATAAAAAATCCAGGTCCGTATTTAAAAAAAGGAAGTTGAGGATGGCCGCCTGAAGACGAAACGTCGAATTTTAAATTTAGTAGCACCATCTTCTAAAGGGGAAAAAGTGACAATGATGAAGTCACATTTATTTTAAAATTGCTTTCCAAAAGGGCCCGAGAAAAAATAAAAACTATTTTACAAAATTTCGGATTTTTCCGAATATCTCCGGAAGTATTCGGAATCTTTCTAGTTTCAAAACGGCATTCTATTGGTCATAAAATTGCGCAACTTTGCCATAATCGACCCCGTATCTCTTACGGTTACCGAGATCCCAATGATGAGGCTCGAATTTGGGCCACCCTGTATATTTTTATTTTTATTTTTGGGTGATACGTTAATCAAAAAGTGCCAGTAGAATCTTGGTATTTTTTTTTTTTTTTTTTGGGGACAATTAGGCTCTCCAAACCACGTGATTTTTCAATATGGCGAGCGTGGAAAAATTGACGTTTGTTTGTTTATCTTGAGTTAATTTAGAAGCTAAATACAGTTTACTTTGTTATAATATACTTTTCGAGATGTAGAGTGAATATTTAAAGACTTAAATGCAGGAAAATCGGGATGTGGGCGATAAGTTTGAAAAAATGTCTATTTGACATTTGTTTACATTTTGATCTTATTTTTACAGCAATGAGCAAATGAAGGCCTACACAAGCTCAGATTCTCACAAGTATTTCGAGTATGGCTTTATTTTAGATGCAGGAACAGTGGTACTGAATAATTTCTACGTTTTAATTGGAAAAATTTGAAAGGTTGGGCACTGAAAACAACCTGACATCATCCTTGTTGAAACGCCTTCTAAAATCAACTACAAGACACCTTTGTGGCATTTTTAATTAGAAAAAACCCTTATGAAGTCAATAAAATAAAAAAATAAATAGGGTTTAGTCACAAAACAACCACACAATGTACTTTAAAAAGCTTTAAATTCTGTACTGTCATATACGGAATAAGCAATTTCCGCCACGGTGGCCATTTTGGAATAGTTTTGACAGGTCGTTGGAATGCCTAATTCAAATATTTTTGAACTGCATCTACATATATTTGCCTTTCAGATATTAATGGCGTAGCATTAGCCTTGGAAATTTGGCAGGTTGACCCTCGTATAATAATGACAGTATATGTCAAATTCCAGACAGTTTTAAGTCTGTTTTACATAATTTCGTGAGTGTCGCGGTATTAAAATTCTCTGGCCAATCAAATTTGACACATTTTTCGATGCATTTTTCAATAGTGCTATATTATAACTATTTTGTGTAGGTACCTGCAAAATTTAATGACATTTTTTAAAATTCGGCATTGTCAAATTTATTTCATATTTAAGATGCCCAAAATAGTTTCACAAGAGAAAATAATAAAATTTAATGGCTACCTATTTCAAGAAAAACAAACCAGAGGTTCTTCAAGATAGATAGATAGATAGATATTCTTTATTTGTTCAGTTACAATAAACATAACAAATAACCCAGAAGGGTGTAGAACAATGTCACAATGTGAAAATATACCATTTAATAGATTTACTAGATCTTAACACTATAACTGCGCCTATACATTCAATATCATTTTCCCTGACAAGTAATATAAACATTAAAAGGACATTTCATGGCAGATCCTTATACAACATAAAGAAAAACAGAAAACACAACAAAAAACAACAGATTTACACAAACTATTTTATCCCATTTTGACGTTTAAAAATGACATTATTGAACGCATAATAACAAAGGTAAGTAGACGTTTATCACCTGAGTGACTTAAAATATTTTTAACTCACTCTCGGTCTTTTAAGTCACTCTGCCAGTATAAAAATCTGCTACAAATACAAACAAACAACTAGTTATACCTTAGCAACCACCAATTTCAATAATTAGCTCTTGCATAACTACTAAATGAATTCTTTTTATAATTTGATTCCTATTAAGTACCTTATTTTTTAAATGTCCATCAAAATGGGATAAAATTTTGTATAAATCACGTGAGTTAAAATGTTTATTCATTCGACGAAAATTAACCCACTCGCTAGGGCTCGTGGGTTAAACTTTCTTCTCATGAATAAACATTCATTTAACTCACTTGGTGTATAAATAACTAATATTCTCTGCACTTGAGTGCCTATTGAATTTATCTATGGATTATTTTCCAACAAACCCAGAAGAGTTGTCCTATCCTCATCATTGTAAAATTCACTGATGCTATAAAATGCTTTATTGATTAGGTATTTATACAAAACAGATTTAAGTTCACTTCTCGACAAACATCTAACCAGTGTTGCCAACTTGGTAAAATAATTACCAGATCTGGTAATATCGACCCCGGTTTTAGTAATGAAGATTTTAAAAATATATCTAGTAATATTTCTGGTAATTTGAAATTTCATTCCAGCAAAATTCTGGTATTTTCGCATTAACAATCAATAATCTATTTTTCTTGAATTTATGGTCGTTTGCACCGTCCATTTTGAGGGAGCTTTAACGATAATCAACGCTTAAAGTGACATTTTTACATGTTGGAATTTGACGTTGGACATTTGAATGTGAAATTTGAACCAATAGGCAAGAAATCCGCAAAAAATAAATCGCCATTTCGCGTCTATGAAGACTAGTCTTAAATAGTTATGCCAAAGGTTACCAATATACCTATTAGGGTCGGTTTATTCACCTTCTGATAAACTGTCAGGTATGCAATCTGACCTACAGTGCATCTGACCCATATATAAACGAAATATGTTATCCAGTTATCCCATTGGTTGGCCAGTTATCCACCGACCAATAGAATTATAGAAAATATCTGTAATGTTATGTTGTACAGAATGGATTTTTTTTTACAATAATGTATTTGTTTATAGTTATCCTGTGTATACATACATTAGGTATGCAGTGTTATTTTATCTGAATAAGTTTTATTTTTCCATACTAGATATTGTTGTTATTGCATTTTTATTTTAAACCTAACGAAAAAAACAAAAAAAAAACTTAAAATAAACAATTGAAATCTAAAAAGTTTAGCACAATTTTTATTTAGCAACAAAGACGTAGTAATATTCTGGTATTGGCAGGATTAAGAAAAATCTAGTAATATTCTGGTATTCCAAGTTTTATAATCTGGTAAAATGGCCATTCATATAGTTGGCAATACTGCATCTAACTCTCTCTGGCAATGAATTAAAAATCTTTATAGCGCAGTGTTTAACATTTTTTTGTAGGTAAGCAAAATTGCACTTTTTAGGTACCATACTATTTTTGTTGCGAGTGTTATAGTAGTGCTTCAAAGCACAATCAGAAAAGAGATCTCTATTATCATATAAAAATAACACAGTATCCAATATATACATTCCTATCACAGTCAATATTTGATATTTTAGAAAAATAGGCCTACAGCTTTCTTGCTGCCTCATACAAAATATACTCCGCAGGCACCTTTTCTGCATGACCATAATTCTGTGCACATCAGATGAACCACCCCAAAAAATAACTCCATATCGTAGCCTAGACTGGATATAAGCATGAAAAGCGCTTATGGCAGCCAAAGTGCTTACTTCTTTAGCTATTATGCTCAGAGCATAGCAGTATTTGGATATACTGCATGCTAGGCTCTCAATATGTGCCTTCCAATCCAACCTCTGATCAATTTGCACCCCCAAAAAACGCAAACTCTCC